GATTAAGCTAGCTGACAACCTGAGTGAGTGTACTTGTGTAATGTGTGAGTCTGTGTGTGTGTGTGTGTGTGTGTGTCTCGAATGGCAGGATTGTTATCTGAAGTACGGAGAGAATGGGTATTGCTATATATAGCCTAAAATTCAATCTACTTGGCTCGTGTGGATCTACACTTTTATGTAGGACTTGTCAGACAACCTAACCAGGCTTGTTCAGCCTTCTGTGTTCAGAAGAAGAACAATCAGACTTCAGGGTAGCTGAGACTTTTCCTGGACTCCGTCCATTTAGGGAAGAGGTGCTTTGTATTCCAAAAGGATGAAAAGCTTTTCTGACAAAGGTGTGGGATTGAACTAATTTCATGAAGAGATAAACATTCCATCTGGAAAGCAGCCTCTTGAATTACTTTGTTTAGCCTAATGCACAGCCACATTTTCCACTCTCACTGTTCAGGTTTCTTTATCTTTCACAGCCTTCCCCTTAACGTTCCTTTGCTTTTATCCACTTTGGTCCAAATTTCAGTACTCTGATCAATGTTCGTGTTTGACTCACCACAGGAGTGATATTTGAATGAATGAGCGTACTGTCCCACCTAATGTGTGTATGAATGTAAATTTCATGTAAGCGTTTGTTCTTAAATCCGTTTCTGTTTGAACATAATGCTTATCAACATCAAACAGAAAAAAAGATCTCCTCTTCTGTCAGCTGCTGAGATCTCTCACTCTCCCCGTTAAGCTTTCAGTCTGCAGAGCGGCACGTTTCCCTCCGGGGGCCGATAAACATCTCCCAGTGCAAACGTCAGGCCTTTTCGCTGTCACTGTCGCAGGAAGTGTGTAAAACGCTATTTGGCTCGAGGTTTACATGAGCTTAATTTCTGAACCATCCCACCCCCCCCCACCCCCCCCACCCCCCAGCCCCCGTTTTTCTGCTCCTTATCAAAGACTCAGGACAATCAGAGGTTTTATCGCTGCTGGAAATGCGAGCAGGAAGCAGATGTTGCTCTGATTATACACACACACACTCACAAACACGGGGCACAGGGGCAGTAAGTGGCCTTAGCCGCCGCTTCAAGGCCCTGAGAGCAGTTGAGGGCCAAGTCTTTGAATCCAGAGCGGTGTAATCTGCTCAACATGTGCAGCAGAGGGTTTAAACTGCCAACAAACATAGCTTTTGTATCCTTCTACAGATGTGAGCGTGTACTGAGACAAACACAGAGAAAACTGTTTGGATGTGATACTTTGACCTCCTCCTTTGTAACTAAACCTCTTCATCTGAGATCATAGAAATAAACTCTCCTCTACAGACATGAAACAACATATACCACCAGGCACTGCAGTGCACGTGCGTGTGTGTGTGTATGAACAAACGGTACAGAGACTGTTGGGTAGTTTCTACTTTAATAAGAATGCACTTTGGCACCCCTTCAATTTCTTCACTTCGGCTATTATTTTACAAACTAGATATAAAAGGACATAAATAAATGACATAAGTTACATGTACCTAGAGCTCATTGACCAAACCAAAAGTGATAAAAAGAAGATCAGGAGAATGTTAGATCTACACTGCTAGATCGTCTGGCATCAGAAGGCATACAATGACGAACATTAACTCTTGTGTTTAGCTCATGTTTGTCTTCTTTTCATTTTGAAACTAATGTACATAGAGGAGAAAGTATTTTACAATACATTCTGGTTTCCTTCTCTTCCTAAAACGTCTTGCATATTTCCAAACAGGTCCTTTTTTCTGAAGATAACCCAACCCAACCCAACCCTCAACCCCCACCCCACCCTAACCAAAAAAAAAAAGAAGGCAAACTAGCCAAAATATGGAAAGATTTGTTGGCTGCATTAAGGACAGAGGTTTTTTCTGTGTTATACGAAGTGTCATGAGTCCAAAAAACAATCACATAGGTAGAGTTGAAAGAGATAAAGGGACCAAAGGAATGCGGTTCAGACCTGTTGCAGTGTGTTCTCCCTAAGACACCCTGTCCCCCATTCTTCTGATGTTAGCCAGAAGGGACAGAAGTGACAGAAGTGGTTGCATCCACAAAGTTTGTTTGGATAAATGCTGCTGCGGAGTAGAGTTTTGCACAATACGACGAACACGCTTTACGTTGCTCTTTTCTTAAGCCGAAAAAAAACACAAAAAACAAAAGTCCAAACATTTTTCTTTTTTTCTTATCAAAAACTATACAACTCTGTTATTCCTCCTAGTGGCTTGAAAACAGATACGATAACTGATAGAATTTCAAGTCATTCAGAAGCTACACACACACACACACACACACACACACGCCCTACCACATTCACACCTGCTATGCTACATGCAAACGGAACGATAAAAAACTGACAAATGAACAGAAATAAAACACCCACACACACACACACACACACACTAACAGCTGGAGCAGGATTTCTCAGTGATGTTACATTCTTTAATTGTTCATCTGTATGTCGTAAGAGCATTCACAGCAAATCCAGCTCAGGGTAGACAGTCTGTAGAATCGACGTGCAGTGGCTCGTGGATGGTTCGCCATCTGACCGATGGAAAAGGCCCCGAAGACGAAGACGAAGAGAAGAGAGCAGGAGAAGAACGAGGAGCGAAAGAGGAAGATCTTTTGTGTTGGTGAGCCAGGCCGAGTTTCTGCTTCTGATGGACTGCAGCTCCTGGGGAGAAAGAAAAAGAAAAAGGAGAGCAGGGAGGCTCGATAAGTTTTAAATGTACACAGTCCAGCTCTGTAGCTGAGTCTGCAAACCACCGGCCGGCGGGGGGAAAGCGGACTGATACATTACATTAATGTCTGTTTACCACATACTGCTGGTCGGACTTAATGTGAAGCATCCATTTCATTTATGGGCAGCACATGAAAAGAACCCAAACAGGCATTTTACAGATTCATTTACCAGTGGAAGTCACTCCAGATGGGATTAACGTTTCTCACCCTGATTATTGCTGGTTATATCACTTTATGAAGAGCTGCACGTTTTGATGTTTTTAATTCATTTTACATAAGTTAAATGCCTCTTCATTAAAATGTGACACTTTCGTTTCTGGTCTCGTGTCAACAGCTTATTACAAAATAACGTCAGTCAAAGGGAATGCAGAGACCCCACACAGCTAGCATGGCTCCTTAATCAATCTGCTTATTAGTCAGTTACTCAACACCGTGTATTTACAAACTGCTTCCTCCGTCCCATAAACTAAGATTTTATGAAAAATACACAATGAAAACACCCATTTTGGGAATTCTTTCAATTTTGTTTGATTCTGTTGGTGTGGGCTGAAGGGGTGGATGAACCCAAACTATAGTCAGTGGCTCTGTAATGGTTTCAGCTCATTACAGCAGCTAACTAACTGGCAGCTGAGTGAGTACAACAAATCAATAGTTGCATTCATTAAAAAAGATTATGTAAAATAAGCTCAGCTGCATAAGCTACATCCGTTTTTTTTTATCCTCCGGTGGGAAATTGTTACTCAGTGAGCAGAAACTATCATCTTGAAACTAAAAAAACAAGAAGCAAAGTACTGTAGAATGTGGCCAAAAGTCAAGAGACAACATTATCAAGCAACTGCTGTTTGAGCAAAACCGATCAAGACCTGAGTTCAACCCGGGAGCACGTGGTCTGGATTCGGAGCCGGGTTGGGCCGGGCCGACTGGGAGTGAGCCGCTGATGTATTCTGCTCATTAATATGCCAGAGGCAGCGGGCCTGCAGACCGATGGCGGGCCGCTGGGTATTGATCTGCCCCGGCTGCCTGAGGTGGTGCAACCTGCTTGTTAATTAACACCGTTTGTGAAGCCGAGGGCGAGCGGTGGGAGCCGTGGGGGTCTAATGCCTCTTGTAAGCACTTTGTGGCTACATGCATTGATGTTAGAAGAATGCTGTACAAATAAAAGGTTTACAATAGCAAATTCTAATTCTGAGCTCAGTCTGGTAAACAGAATAAAAACTATTAGTGATCCTCACCGTGATGACAGGTTGATTAATCCTCCACATTCTTTCTGTTTTCTTCTTTAGCGATGGCAAACCTGATGATTGTGTGTCAGTCTTAATCCAAAATGCCCGTTGGAGCAAGTTCATTCCTTCATTTTGCATCAATTTAATACAATCAGTTTTACTGGATCCACGTCCCATATGTGTGAAGAAGGGCTGGCAGACCCTGCAGAGGAGGGGGGTGGGAGCTTTGATTTACAGGGGAATTGAGTGGAAGAATCCAGATTGTGTGTTTATCAAAAGGTGAAAGAGGGCATTTTTGGGAAGAAAGGGGAGTGGGAAGGCTCCTCTGGAAGATCAGAGGCATTCTCAGAAAAGTCCTGAGGCAACAAAATACTGGGAGAACAACAAGGCCAGAACAGAGCCAAAACCCCTAAAAAAAAAGCTCCTCCTTGCCTTATCCAGCATGTCCCTCCAGAATGCAAACCCAGCCTCTCCGGGATTCCTTACGAGGATCTGATAGGTAGAATCTCCGTTTTCTTTTGAGAGGTATCAAACAGACCCAGCTGGTGGAAAGAACAACGGTGGCCGGGGCAGCCGGAGAGTCCCGCAGAAACAACTCATGTACAATAAACACAGTCAAAGGAAATAAAAAAGGATCCGATCCTTGGATGTATCCAGGAAGAAAGCTCCAAAAAACAACACTTTGCCCAGAAGAAGGAAGAAAAGCCTCCTCCCACACTCTCTGTACAGACCGTTAAAGGCACTCCAGACTGGCCTCTCGGAAGCACTTTATCCAGCCGTCCTTCCATCTGTCCATTAGTGTCGTGGACAGAAATGTCCCATTCTTCCAGTCAAAAAAAGGGCAAGGTATGGGACAGATTTTTTTTTCTTCCAAAAGTGCCATTTTAAACACTTTCTTTTTTCTTCATCTTCAGTAATTTTAGATCCAATTTAAAGTGCGCGGATGAGGTAAACTATTTATAGTTTGTCTCTTATATTTTGTCTTTTTTCGTTAATTTCATTTGTAAGAAATACAGTCAGCTTGATCCTTTCACGGTGTCGGACCACGTCAGACAGGAACCATTCTGCCTTGCATTTGCTGCATTTGGGACAGCATCCCCTGGACGCTGGTCAGGATCTTGCTCTGGTGTGCCGTCGAGGAGATGCCGATGCGCGCCATGTCCCTGAAAAAAGACGGAGGAAAAAAGACCTTATAAGACTCAACAAAACAAAAACTAGGGAATGAGGGAGATTTGCAAGTTTCAGGTGGAAATGGAGCTTACATTTCATTGGGACAGATTAAAAAAACTCCACAAATCAGAGACAAAAGCCGAGATTTTTAAGTGGATATCTTGCAGATGAGCTGAAGAACATGTATCTGCTAAAATTAGCAATGCTTTCAGGACAGATGCTGTCATTATCTCAGGCGCTTCCATGACTGACTTTCCACTAGTACCCACTCAGGTCTACTTGACTTTACTCAAACTCATCTCAGTTTAGGTCCTTTTCCATTACAAACCAGTACCACCCCAGTGTGTGGGGGGTCCTTGCTGTAAATTAACCCAAAAGTCCCGGACTATGACCAACAACACCCAACAGTGGAGGACATGGTGATGTTAGCGTGGGACCACGGTGGTACAGAAATTAATGTGGTACGAGGGATCTGATCCCCAGAAGAAGCATTACGTTGTTTCAAAAGGGGCTCATAACTGTCTTTTAAAGCAGAAGCCACACTAACAGAATTGACTTTCCCTCTACTTCTTGATATGCTTTTCTCCTTCCTCTTATCCCCACTTACTCCTGTGTCATGTGCACCACCGTTTCTGGGCTGGTGTAGCCGGCTGCTGTGAAGTTGTCACTGTATCTCTCCATGCCAATGGCCTGCAGCCAGTCTTCCACCGTGCCCACGGCTGAGGACACCTCCGGGCTCCCCGGCTCCAGCAGGGTGGGGTTGGATCTGTCAAGGGTGGAGGAGAGAATTCAGTTTAGCTCCGGTTACACTTCCTGAGTTGATCCAAAGTCATCTCCGATTTAGTTTCGCTCTCCGGAAAAGTCTGGATCTGTGCAGCCGAAAGTCTGAGAACTGATTAAAGCTACATTGTGTTTAAATGTTTTTTCTCGGAAGGGTAATATTAATTCATGATCGGCTACAGCACAGTTTCCCTCAGTTTGTGTGATGACAGACAGCTTCCCACCAACTGTAGCAGAAAGAGGCAGGGCACATTTCTCTTTGATTAAATCAGCTCACCTCAGTTTTGTGCGTGGTACAGAGACTGAGCCCAGTCAAACACAGGAACCCACACAGTTCCTTACTGTACAGGGAAACCCAAACACATCTGATGATTTATATTCCAACCCCCGCTCCCACCAGATTCAGACACCCGAACCAGCTCCAGAGTGTTTCTGTCCCCCAGAATAAAACCTTTACAAGGGTCCATTGGGTTTGAGTCATGTCATCAGGTCACTGTGTTCATAACTAAAAAAAGACATTTTCCAGATACATGCATTCTGCCTTCCCTGCTGCGTCTGTAAAACCTGCATTTCTAGAACTCGGCTCTGCTAATTACTCCCCAAGGATCCCCGCTCTCACTCTGGCTTTCCCATTAGGTGAGAGTGTACGAGTTTGCGTACAAGCACTCACACTCTCGTTAAAATGAACCACTCCCGCCGCCCTGTGTGGAGTCTGTTAACACGGAGGTCATGCTTAACCACTGGAGAGTGATGGTGTCGGAGATGGCTGCTAACGTTTGGTCGTAACTCGCGTTAGAGCAGCGACATTCCTGCGTGAAGCACCGTCAAAGATGCTTCCCTGATTTATCCATAAGTGAACATCTTGAGCACACAGAATATCTTGAGTCTAAGGACTGAAGCTCGTTCCGGTCTCACATCTGGGTAGCGTCCAGCTGTGGACCTGGGCCCTCACCTGACCGCGGTCTCTCCACCGCTCCTCTTCAGTGTGTTGGGGTTGCGGATCAGTTTGTCCAGCATGTTGACTATCTGCCCGAACTTCGGCCGGTCGGCCCGCTCCCGCTGCCAGCAGTCCAGCATGAGCTGATGCAGAGCCACGGGGCAGTCCATGGGGGGGGGCAGCCGATAGCCCTCATCGATGGCCTTGATTACCTAGTGTTACATTATAGCCGATTAGTCCTGTTGGTTTCATATCTTCCTTTGGTTCACTGTGCATTACATTTATGATCTAACCAGTATAAATGAAGGGCCTTTGACAACTTACACCAGGGATATCCTACAATACTCAAACGTAACATGACTGTCTACATGGGACTGAATTTTCCCCTACTTACGTCTTGGTTACTCATGTCCCAGTATGGTCGCTCGCCGTATGACATCACCTCCCACATGACAATGCCGTAGCTCCACACGTCACTGGCCGAGGTGAACTTCCTGTAAGCGATGGCCTCCGGGGCCGTCCAGCGAATGGGGATCTTGCCTCCCTGCCGTTAAAAAGTAGGGCTTAATCAAGGAGTCCGCCAATAGGCGGTGGACGCAAAAACAGAACCGCTGCTCGGTACAAATCGGCTCACCCTGGTGGTGTAGGCAGCCTCGGGGTCGTCCTCCAGCACCCGAGACATGCCGAAGTCGGACACCTTGCACACCAGGTTGCTGTTGACCAGGATGTTGCGGGCCGCCAGGTCGCGGTGGACGTAGCTCATGTCCGACAGGTACTTCATCCCCGATGCGATCCCGCGCAGGATGCCGACCAGCTGAATGACCGTGAAGCGGCCATCGTTCTTCTACAGAAGGGAACAGGGAAAATTTGCAGTGCTATCTTTCTTTCTGTCTTTACCTTGCCCACAGACATATACAACAGCGTCCACTAACAGCCTCTTAGATCGCATTGGAGTTCCCTACCAGTTCCCAGCTGCTTGTGACTGGACAAGAAGCCGGGATCACATATTGTTCTTCTTCAATGGCCGTCATTTGGATGTGTTCATCATTGACTGGCTAAATGGTTTTTAAACAAATCGCAATTGCTGACCCTTTTGCTATTTTTTCCACATTCGTTAGCCAGCACAATCAGGAAATTGCGTGGATAAAGTCAAGTGTTGTACTCTTATGGCCGGTGAAATGCAAAGGTGACACCATCACCGGCAAACAGCAGGTTCACCAGGATTCGTTAAGATCGGGGCCCAGGTTTTTCAGCAGATAACCGATAAATGACATCAGTGTGTTAGGGTTGTTACGCGTGTGCGCACACGGACATGCGTGACTGACCCTCAGGAATGCGTCCAGCGATCCGTTTTCCATGTACTCCGTGATAATCATCACCGGCTTACCTAAAGAGAGAGAGAGTAAAAGGCAGCTGATCATGGATGTAAATGATGCGCATTTACAGCTCCACACAGCAGGCAGCATCCAGAACGATGTCTGTGTGTGTGTGTGTGTGTGTGTGTGTGTGTGTGTTAAGCCATCCATCCCTGTGCAGCAATGATTGAATTAACTCAATGTTGCACCGACATTTCCCTGCTCTTTGCACACTCAAAAGCAAGTCCGGTAAACAAGAACACACACACACACACACACATCTACCCCATTCTGTGTTTATGCAAATCTGGACCGACAGTGGACGTGTCCCTCTGTTGGTGCTGCTCATCATCCCTCTTTCTTCAACAGCAGGTTTTAATGCATCTGTCACTCTCAGCTCACTCCAGTTTTCTCGTCTCCCCCCTCGGCAACCCCCCCCGTGGCCCTTTCTCAGCCCAGATCCCTGGCTTCCCCCTTCTATATTTCTTTATTTCTGCATCTTTATCTGAGCCGGGTCAGGGTGGACAGTCCCTGGTGGGTCTCTGCATGTCTGTGTCCTCGAAGATGAGCGGGACAGCAGAGATGAGCAGAGGAGGAAAGAGGAGGAAAGAGGAGGAGGAGGAGGGATGGCGGTTTTTTGTTTTTTTTTGTCCTAAAATGGCGGCCTGCTGGTGCCTAACCAGCCATGGCCATAACACATGCTGAGCAGTGCTGCCAAAAAGTCCACTTCAGTCAGCCATTTTCTGTTCCACAAAAAAAGTGGAGCGAGGACTCAGGTGGACTGAGAAGCG